AAGTTACTTATAGCTGAGTCAGGATTAAAGGAGGGATACTCCAGTACCTTAATTTCACAGTACCACTCAGGAAAGCTGTTTCAACAAATTACAGTTTATGTTACCAAACAGAGTCTTATTTGAGATGTATTGCTTTGTTTTTCAATTATAAGTGGTTTTCTGCTTAAAAAAAAAAAAAGATACGAACATGAATAAGAGACATTGTTTACCCTCAAAGAAATTAAAGTCTGATTGGGCACAGAGAAAGTACTATTAAAATTATGTCTTTCTGCATCGTGTGGGTTTGAAGTTTGTTTTTTTTTTTTTTTTTTTTAATATATTTATATTTGAAATTAGGATAGTGATACTGTTTTTTTCTTTGTTAAGTTACTTGTGTGGCAGTTAAGATGATTCTGGTGGCTCTTAACATTTTTTTTCCTCCAGTCGGGAACATGCCCTGTGTGCCGCCGTCATTTCCCACCTGCAGTTATTGAAGCATCTGCAGCTGCTTCCTCCGAGCCTGATCCTGATGCCCCACCTTCAAATGACAGTACTGCAGAAGCACCCTAAACCTTAACAGTTGAAATGAGATCAGTCTATCGAAGTAAATCTGCAAATTCCTTCTAAATCTCATGTGCAAATAATTATATATAAATATATTTAAAAATGCTATATATAGTATATGCCGTAGTTTAGAAAGAGAATATTAACCTTTCTAAACTAAATTTAGGTTTGCAGAAAGTATTAAACATTTTCAAGCTGAATGTTGAGACAGTGCATCCATTTTCTTTAGTTGAATATGTTTGTATTAATTGTAAGGTCAAGCTTATCAGTTGACTCTCTCCAGAAAAAAAAAAATCATCCTGTGTGGCATACGTTATTGGCTTTGTCTAAAATACTGCCACTAAGTGATTATAATTAAACTCTCCTGTTTGCATCACATGTAAAGACTGTGTTCACAACAGTAGTAAAATTTGGTTTCATTGGAAATAAATTCTAAAGTATGCTTTTTCACTAGTCCCTTTTGGTTTTGCATAACCTCTTGGTTCATAATGCTGAGAAATTTTTCAGAAAGTCCATTTTTGACTTTTCACAATGTCAAATGAAGGCTAAAATTTTGGCCAGAACATCACAAAAGTTTTAAATCTTAGATGTAACATCCCCCCAACCCCCCCTCCCCGAAATAAAGTTAGGTAGTAAAATCCTTAATGAAACCAGTGGATGTGCTTAATGTAAGGTTAGTAAAGCATACTAAGAATCTAGTGTGCTCAATGCTTGGTACAAATGAGCTGAATTAGATGGCCTTATTAAACCCTTTCTAAGCTCTTACCCAACCTGTTTCTTGGTTACAATTATACTTGAAGGCCCAGAACACTCATGGAATGTTTGTTTAATATTGGATATCGTTAGTTTAAGGTAATTTTGCATCTACAATATTTTGGAAGGTCTGAAAACTTGCACGGGGTCATCTTTGTAATTACGTAACCCCAAACTAAGATGCACAGTGTCTCCTTTAGGTGATTACACACAGTAGACAAGTATGTGCAAACATGGACATAATAGTTCACTTACAAATGTGATTTGATGTTAACACTAGAGAATGGTGACTGTTAGAATATCACATTTGAGCAAGTAAAATAGTAAAGCACATAGTGAATGGATGTCCATCTAATTGGTCCATTGATAATTTAGTTTGGGCACATAAAAGGAATATTTATATGGCTTCCCAAATGCAGAGTTATGTCTTATTTGTGTAATTCCTCTGAGTATTTATATCCCGTCTCTTTTTTTCATTCTTAAAAATAAATGAATTTTCACTGTTGGCACATTTGAGGCTTAAATATAAGGAACATAACACTTGCATTCTAATTTTTGCATATATTGTAAATGTGTCTGGTATTTACAGCAAAATACTGTGTATCCTTTTATGGGTAAAACAAAAGTGAACATTGCATGCATGTAATGTGATGAATTTGTAATTTAGGAGTTCTTTGGAGCTTCTGTGACTTTGGAAATGCTTACATTCAGGCCTTAATGTTGCATTAGCTAGCATGTTTTTCCTCTGATGTATATAGTCACTGTTGTATAAACTAATCTTTGCTTGTTTTTTACTCTGTGATCTTTCCATGCCATCTTTCGTTAATAATCAGTTAGTGTCAAGGAGTCAAATCAGATTAAAATTAATTTCATGTGTATATTGTGGAAATTTGTGGCTAGTGTGATTTTTGTTTGTTTCCTTTTAAGTACTGTTGATGAGTTGTGACACTTACTGGTTAAACTTACGTTGCTAAAGATTTCTCTGTAATAAGCCACACATTATATTTAGGCTATATTAAGGGACCTTGGTTTTCTTCTAGATAGCAGCTGTCTCAAAGAAAATATTTCTTCTTTTCCTGTTAAGATTTAGCTGTTATCTGCCAGTTGTTAAGAGGTTCTGGTTCCAAACTCAACCAGCAATGTTGAGAGCTGAACTTAAGATAGCTGTTGTACTTTTTGCTTTCCATCTGTTACTGTCCTTCATTCTTGGCTCCCTACTATCTATAAACAGCTGCTATGAAGGAGAAAAATTGAATAAGAGTTGGCTTAAATTTTAAAAAGGAAAAAGAAAATTGAGGTTTTACGATTTTCATGGTAACAAGAGCTGATATAAGCTAAGGCTGACAAGTTCAGATACCAGAATATTATTTGGTCATATCTTAGATCTTTTTGAAAAAGTTAAGACTATATGAAGGTAAATTAGAAGTATGAATATTAATAAAATATCATTTATCTTATTTCTCTATGTTGTGACTTAACCTAATTTTATTTTTTTAACATTTTCTTATTTCTTGTAATATGAATGCTGATATTTAAAGGTAGATCTATGTGGTTTTCTTTTGTGTTTCTTAATTGTTTATTTCTAACTCTTAAGATTATTTGTGATCTGGATTTATGTATTTGTTTAGATATATATGAATTGTTAAGATGGATTGCAAGTTTTTCAAAAGCCCAGGTCTAAATGTAATGGTTGGTTTATTGTTCTACAACCCCAGCCCATCATTTTCTGTGTAAATCATAAACAATAAACAAGATATACTCGGTGGTCATTTCTAATATTTAATTGTGTGATTGTATTACTTCTATAATGTAACCCCTGAAGGATTTAGAGTTAATGACAACTAACACTAATGAGCATGTAATATTAAAGTTCTTGAACTGTGATCTAAGAAATCCCTAGAAAGAGCCAGACAGAAGTAGTTGATGGACTTTTTTCTGCTGGAGGGTCTCTGAGTCCTTTCCCTCTCCTGCTTGTCATCCCTGAGTTCTACACTGACTCAGGACTGCAGAAACCCTTAAAGGAAGGGAGCCCACCTCACGTCATGGTTTTCTCCAAACCAGGCATGGGAATATTATCAAATCTTTAATATTTTTATTAAATAATTTATTTAAATTATTAAATTTAGCAAGATTCCTCATGGTTCCCAAACAGTCAGAGAACTCACTCATTTGAGAAGGGTCAATTGGGTGCTGATAAATTAAGCCATTCAGTTAGACAAAGACTAGCCAGGCATGGTGGTGTGTCTATAATTCCAGCTATTTAGGAGGCTTGAGGCGGGAGGATTGCTCGAGCCCAGAAGTTTAAGAGCAGCCTGAGCAACATAGTGAGACTCTGCCTCAAAAAAAAAATTTAAATTTAAAAAGACAAAAACTAATCATTTTGTTTAGATGCTTAGAAAGTTTAGAATTCTCATTCTCATCTAATAGAATAAATATGTACTAGAAAAATAGTCTCAGAGCTAGAAACATCAGTGATATACCTCTACTGTCGATGCTTTTATAATTTCATCACTATTTTCATTCATCCACTGCTGGATGGAGCCATTTGGCATCCTTGCATAGGATAAATTTCACTGTTGGAAGATTGTCACCAAATTTATCTTTAAACAGCACACGTGAACTTAGATAGAAAGTCCTGTTTCTTCTGTGTGGCCACCTCTTCATATTCTTCTTCAGGCTTCATATGTCCTGAAATCTTACCCGATATCTATTCCAAACCAACCTAGGGTTGGCTCTTTCACTTAAAGTATGTTGTCCAGAATTAAACAGTCCTGTGGTCGAATTAGGGCAGGGTTCAGGGGCACTGCTGCCAACTTCAGAGTGATCCTCTTATGGCTGTTATGGTTGGTATATGTAATTATTATTATTACCACCATCATTATTAGCCAGGCTGTCATACTTGTTGGTTGTCTCCTGCTGAGCTTCACGGGTATTGCTGGTAAGCCTAGTCCACACCTAATCTTTACTTAAACAATCTCTTATTAACCTAATTGAAGGTAGCATTCATCCTTACTGAATTTAGTTTGTGAAGTCTCTTCTGAATTCAGGTTTTTCCTCTTAGCCGTGCATCAGTTCCAGTTTTGATAAAGCATGCCTTTGGTATTTAGTGGCTTTGTCTAAGTTGTTGATATATGTTGAATTGAACAGGATCCAACACAGACCCTCTTCAGAATGCCACTATACACAGCACTTCAGTTGAGTGATCCATTAATTAGTACTTTGGATACAGCTGTTACAGTACTTACCAATCACTTTATATGCCCCTGTTTCTTCAACTTTCCTAAAAAGGACACTAAAAATTTTGTCATTTGTGGCAGACATGTACTATGCACTGTCTTTGGAAGTAGCCTAATGTACTAGTATATTAAATAAAGAAAGGAAATGAATTCAGCTGGTAATGCCTCATTCTTAGTGAAACCATACTATCTCCTTTTCTAACTGCTTACATGCCATCTGTTTAATAACCTGCCTTAGAATTTGGTAAGGGATCAATGTCGCTCATTTTAATAATTTTTGGAGTCCACCTTTTCCCATCTCAAAATTATGTCAAAAAATATGCCGAAGTCACTTAATCACTCTGCTTCTGTTTTCTCTATCAAATAATGAGTCCAAATTACAGGTTCATTACTACCACTATCTGTGCATGAATGAGTTTGGAAAAAAACATGTTTTGCATACTTGGTTTCCATCATTGTTTATAGCACCACTTTTTGGAGATTGATGAAAATTTCAGATTAAACTCCTAAAAACATATTAATTACCTTTCAAGAGGTGAGAATTTGACAGGGGAACTTTATTAATTCAAAGTAACATGCAATTTTCAAAATTTTACTAAAAGGCTGCAACCTAACACTAATAAAGATAGTTGGCAATTTATTGCATCTTATATTGTTAGTATATAGTCAGTATACAGTTTTTATAGTGAACATTGACAGGGAGGAGGTCTTTATCTTATCTTTTTGGAAAGATACTACTTGTTACTGTCAGTAAAAGAAATTCTGCCAGTCACTGTGATTTCCTTGGATTATAACAGTTCTTCTTAATAAGATTCATTTTTTAAATGCATTTTTGCATTATAATAGTTCCTATTTTATGAAGCACGAACTAAATATTAGGCATAGTTTTAGGCTCTCTACTTTCATAATGTTTGCAGGGTTGATTTATTGTCTCAACTTTACAGATTTAAAAAAATAATAATAATTGAGCCCCAGACATGGTCAGAGAGCCCTGGTTCTTAAGCAAGATGCTGTGGGTTCTGTCCACTTCATGCTGCCTTCCTGGGTAGGAACAGCCTACCTGATCGGTTTTATCTGCATTATTATTTAAGTAAATTGCTTGAGATGCGTCTGTTTTGTTTTGTTTTTATCAGAAAAAGTTCAAATCTGTTAAGAATTTTGAGATATTTTTTTCTTGTTATATTATTTTGCTAACATGTTAGATATTTGTGTACTGATGACCAAGATTCTAATGTGGCCCTGATTAGTGAAGTTTCTTAGTCACCAGTAAGATCTAATGAGAACTTCCTACCTTTGCCTGGTAATTTGGGATTCTTAAACTGTTCTGCACACTGTCTTTGGCCTGAAAGATATATAGCATCCTGTTGTCTCTTAGCTATTGAGAGCTAACTATGCAGACATCTGTCTACAAACAATTTGCTACCCTTTGCAGAGGTCTGGATTTCGGTTCCTTAAGAAGCCATAGGCATTTGCCCTCCACAATTGCAAATACTCCAAAGGGTATAGAACCTACCCCCAAGTTGTTTCATCCATAGGGATACTTGACAAGCGCTTTCCTTTTGATTTCAATTCTTAATAAATGCCATTTTTAATTCTTTTTTAAAGAATTTTTTTAAAAACTCGAGCTGTTTAAATTATGCCCTAGTTCTGTTAGTTTACTCCCAGTGTCTTATGAAGAGAACCCAAGTGTTAGAAACAGTTGTTACAAGGGACTTCTCTACGTGTCATCATACCAACTGGCTTTTGGTCTCAACAAATAATTCTTCCTCTTCACCTGGACCAAGGATCCCCCAACCTTGACATTGCAGTATTCTAGGTTTGGTGCCATTCTAGAATATTAGACTTTTAATTTCTGTTTAAGTAAACCTTCAAAGCAGGTGAAGATAGAGATGAGGAGCTTACAAGATCAACCTGGTCTGGAAAGCAAGTTCTAGCCCCATTAAATGATGATGAAGCTATTCACAAGTGAGCACCTTGGTTACAACCCCACATCTAAATGTGTAAATACTACCTGAAAGAAAATGTTTAAAAATTTTCAAATTAGGGAGCTTATGAAAGTAGTATATTAGGACATATCAAATGGAAACCCTTTCTCAATCTGCTGAAAAACACCTTCATTAAAGCCAACAAATTAAATATTTGCATAACCTGAGCTACTGTCCATTTAATGTTTATCAAGTGCCTACTCACAAACCTGTGAACAAAATAGACAAGATCCCTGGCCTCCTGAAGTGTCCATTGGAGTGTTACATGTGCCCACCCCCAACACACTGGATTTACTCAGTAGAAAGGATTTCATCTTAGCCTGGGGAATGCCTGACACACAGGGCCTTAGAGTCTCTTCTGTGGTTACCCAAGCTAAAGAATAAGTGAAGAGCCCCCTAAGGTGACTTTAGCTACCAGCACCTACTCTCAAGCCCAAAGGATCTATAGCTATATTGAGATATTTATAGGATGAAGATCTAAGAGGTTGTATGCCCTATGGCCCACAGGAGGTCATGATGTCTCACAACCAGGGAGATTTGAAAAGAATTTTATTATATTTTACTTTGAGATGGAGTCTTGCCCAGACTGGAGTGTTATGGCATGATCTTGGCTCACTGCAACCTCCGCTTCCCTGGATCAAGCAATTCTCCTGCCTCACCTCCTGAATAGATGGGATTACACACATGTGCCACCATGCCTGGCTAATTTTTGTATTTTTAGTAGAGCTACGGTTTCACCATGTTGGCCAGGCTGGTCTCAAACTCCTGACCTCAGGTGATCCATCTGCCTCAGCCTCCCAAAGTACTGGGATTACAGGATGAGCCACTACGCCTGGCCAAGAGTTTATTTTCTAGAGATGGCGGTGAGTTGAATAGAGAGAAGCAAAACTCCAGTGTTTGACCTTATATCCTGTGCTTTATTTTTGCTACCTTTCTCTTCTCCCTGTGCTAAGGCATTCACATGTATGCATCCAGTGTGGTTTTATCCAGAAAATAGAACATGAAGCAGGAAATTTTGAAGCATTGCTTTTCTGCTGGCCATGTAGCCTCTGATACAACATATAATTTTTTTGTAACTATGCTGGCAGACCAGCACTAACAATGAACCCTGCAAACTGTCTTATAGTCTTACAGGCCTTAACAAGGAGTAAGTACCATTGTGAAATTGTCGAACTTGCTGTATTGTGACTCTCACAGAAGCTGAATGGGCCAAATGAAAGTACACTGGACATTAAGGGACATAAATGCTACGCAGATGGACAGCCATGTTAAGACAGTCCCCATTCCCAACTTAGCAGCAGCACTATGGTATAGCAGAGGTGCCAAACCTGAGCAAAACTGAGGCTCACTCAGGGAATGCAGAAATGTTGCACAATCCTTTGTGTTCTTCTTCCCCCACCCTCCATACTGTATTTGTCCTGAAACTAAGGCCCTGAAGAACCGCCTAAAGCTTAATTTACATGTAGGTGAAACTCAGTAGAAGGGGAAGCAGAACAGAATGCTGCATTGGATGGATTTATCACAGTGCCTGCAAGGACCATTCTACCTGAAGGAGAATATCCCTTTTCATTGTCAAGGACTGCACAGGGTTCAGGGTTTTCCCCTACTTGCAAGCTAATAAGTTTCTTAGATCCCAGGAGTATATACGAGACCTCTGGATCACAGACAAAGGACTTCATTTCTCATAGCACAGTGGGCAGCATGAGTTTCATAATTACATCAGTTTGCTTTCCCCCGCAATGTTCCTTTGGGGTGCTGCACACACACTGTGATTTTTTTTTTTTTTTTTTTTGGTCACAGCTGAGGAAATTTGAGCTTAGGAAACCCTATTCTTAGGGGACTGCTGGAAACCTGCCCCAGAAGAAGACATTATGCTTATCTTGGTCAGGAAACAAATCTGTCCTCTGACCTGGGAGGGGAGTAGGGAACAATATATCTGACTCCTAAGACTATTTGCTATACAAACGTCTTTGAAATGACAGGACAGGACAAAGCTATTCATGCTTTTTGCTCGGGAAGATGTGCAGAAACAATAAATCCAGGAAGAGTTGTCTCAACACCATAGCCCCTGCTAAAGGGATGGGACAGCACAGGCCACAAAACCCCACTCCTCCCAGCCACAGCAGATTGGACTGTTGGGCACCCGACTCAAGGCTCCGCACTCAGAGGTTGACCAGCGACCTGGTGCTGGAGCTAAAAGGCAGGCCAATCAGTTTCTCTTACCCATTTATGTTGGGAAATAGAGAATCCCCAACAGGAAATGGGAGGTGAAGCAAAAGGGTTGCAGGAGGAGGGATAGTTGTAAGTCGTCATGACATGCTGAAGTGATGAGGAAGCAGAAACTAAGAACAGTTGAAAACTGAAAGGGAGAAAATACATAAGAATGAATTAGAGAGGAAGCCAATTGTGGTGGGAGAGAAGGAAGCTGAGCCTCATGACCAGTGGAACACCAGAATGAAGTAGTCATAGCTCCTTCCTTTCCTGAGGCATCTTTTTACTTTGATCCCCATCTGCCACCCATACCAACCATGGATATCCTTGTAACAACACATACACACTGGAGAGACCTTGAGTGAGCCTCTGTTTTAGTTAAGTAAGCTCTTTGGTTATAAAGAACAGAAGAGGTACAAAATAATGTTGCAGCACAGTGACTGAAAACTAGTTAATATTTATTGAGTGCATACTAGGTGTTGGGAACATTTTTGGGTTGTTTAACATACAATATCTTAGTTAATCCTAATAAAACTTAGAAGTAAACACTATTGCAATCCCCCAAAGTCACCAAAAGATTAAGTACCTGCCAAGGCTCACATAGCTAGTAAATAAGGGAGTCAGGATTCCAACCCAATGCCCTTAACTGCTTTGTTGTATTGCTTACTGCATAGGTGAGTGAGTTAACACTTAAGTACAAATAAAATAAATTTTAGTGACATCACTAATAGTTCTTGCAGACTAACCTTGCAAGCTCAATAACCCTTTAAACTTTATTTCATCGGGGATGAAAATACTAAACATTTGGACCAAAAATTACTTAGAAGTTGGTAAATATTTATATTAATAAACACAGAGAATAAGCCCAAAGAAGTTAAGGAGAGGACCCTGAACATTACATTGATTTATTCTCTTACCTGGAAAAAAAAATCTGATGTCAGCAGATGCAGTTTATGTTACTTTCATATCCATTGCAGACTTAATTCTCCCTCCACCATTTATTTTTTCTTGCCGGCCCCTATGGTGTCCACAGTGTCAGTGACCACTGTCTGCACCTGCAAATAGGTAAGAACAATGATGTGATCAAAAGAAGCCTGTTGCCTTTCTACAGAATGGTAAGGCCTGGGTAGAAAGCAAGTTGTGATTGACCGGGGTGAACGTCGGGTCCCTGCTGTGTCTCACACTAAATCCGCTCTACGTGATCTTGCTCTGTCCTAATTGGTCTCTGTCCCAGATGGCGAATCCCTTTGGTTAATGAATACCCATGGCCTCATCATCTCTAGGAACAGGGGCCTACCACAGGAGCCTGAGAGTGCTGCCAAAGCAACTTGGCAAAAGATACTTGTCTGTTCCTCGACTGCTTTGTACTGAGAATCAATTTAAAAAAAAAAATCATCTAAATAATCACTGCGTTAGCTCCCTTAAGGAAGAAATGGTGGCTTGCCCAAGATCATACAGCCAGCCAGTGTCGGAGGCAGGACTTGAATTCAGGTCTTCTGACTACTAACAGTTTTCTCTACTATGCGAAATACTGTTCCTGCTTTCCTTTTGCCTGTACTCACTGTAATTCTCTGGTGATTCAAGGCAGCAGCTAAAGTGAGATCTGAAACAAAGGCCTTCATTGAATAGGTCGCATTTGCCTGCAAACCTGCTTTGTCCCAGCCACTCTTCCGCCAGCAAAGTGTAAATAATGACTTAAATAAGCCAAGCAAGCCCTCTGTGAGTTTCTGTTTCTCTGCTTCCATTTGGGTCAGTTTTAAGAGGCTTGGCATGGGGAAGCAGGGACATTTCTGAAAGCTTGCTCTGCAGCTAGCATTTTATGAAAATAGAAGTACAGGATGAAATTTTGAGCTCTTTAAGGATGACAACCCTGATTGATGATCTCTAGGAGCCGGTAATTGCCTCCTGGTCTTAAAGTAGGAAACCTGCTGGGTAAAAAAATAAAGATAATGAAGGGAACATTTTGTCTTATAAATTGAGTAACAGCATTCTCTGGCGACCTGTTAATGTCAGAGATGATCTCTACGAAAGTGAAGATGAATTTGATTGCACCCAGAAGGAATATTTTTTCCTTTCAAATGGAAATACAAATTTAAGGTTTTTCTGGGCAAACTTGCTTGAGTTTAAAAAGAGGCAAGCTGAGATAATATTTATTTACAAGTTAGAAGAAACTTGTAAATAAAGTTCCTTCCAAGTTAGAAGGAACTAAACAATCCTGCCGGTTGCTCTAGCGGTGACAGGCATTTGCCTTTCTCATTTTTCTTCTTCCCTTCTTCCCTCCCTCCTGTCTCTCCTTCCTTCACTCCTTCTTTCCTTCATCAGCCAGGCTGAGTTTAAATCCTAGTCCTGCCATGTACTAGCTGTGAAGTCTTAAGCAGTTTACTCAACCTCCACGTACCTGTTGCCTCATCTATAAAACACGGACAGATGGTTACCTATCTAGGGTTTTTATGAACACTAAGAGTTCACATATGTAAAGTACTTCGGATCTGGCACACAGTCAGTGTTGGACAGGAACATGCCTTCCCCATTCCTGATGTTTCCTTCCACATGGAAGGACTTCTTTACTCATTATTTGATCTAAATCTTCAATGACAAATCACAGTATCACAAATGGATTCATGAATTTTGTAATATATTTTTAAGTCAAATTGTTTGTATAGACAGAAACCCAACAAAACATTTGCCCAGGGCCTTGGGTACCCTAGAAGTGGCCCTGGAGAAAAGCATTCGCCTACAGAAATCAACCATTTTCTTCCTCAGCCTGTATCAGTAACAAAGGTGCAGGTTTGGCCACTATCTGGCATTCCTTTGTCTTATTCCTCAGTTTGTTTCCAAGCTGATCAGGGAAGAGAGATGCCGTTTCCTCAGATCCCTCAAAGTCCCAATAAGCACTCAATAAGCATTAGGTGTAATCATTTTTCATGCTTTCAGGTTGTACCTTATTTTCCATTTTTTCTCCTTTCCTTTCATTCCCAAAAGCCTCTTTTCTTTGATTCTGTAAGCTCTTCTTTGATCCCTGAGAGATTCCTGTTTATTCTTGTTTGTTTTTTACAATTTTTCCAGAGACCTGGATAATCTCTAGCACAGAAAACCAAAACAAAAAACAAAAAACCATCCTCTTCCTTCTTAGCATCCTTCAGGAGCTGGACTCTGGAAATTCCACTGTCCCCCGTCCTTCGCAGTGCTGCTCTCCAGGCCAGCAAGCTGTGCCCGGGCCCTGTCTGGAGAGGAAGATCACAAGAGAAGAGCATTCAGTGGGGTAACAAAATATCCCCACTGAATGAAGGAAATCTACCTTCGGATTGGATCCAAAAGGTCAAAGCGTTCAAGGAATGAAGGTATTCAACATGGCAACACTGGGAGCAAAGTAAATGTTCAATAGTTGGATGATGATAAAGTAAGCGACTGTGAGACCAGCAGGAACACGTGGAGCTCATTACCATTATGTTTAGGGAGACCCGGAGGAGACACGGCATAGGGCTTATGTGGAATGAAGAGGGAAGGGGGAGACAATTTATAAATGCATGTCCTGTGGTTGTGTAAAATTAGGCATCTGTAAAAAAGGTGGGAATCAGGTAATAATACAGTTAACATGTTGGAGTAATTGGATAATAGTATTAGTTGTTTCTTTTCTTGAACTGAATATAATATAGTTTTATTACTTTTATAATTTAATAAATTTGTTCTTTTCAAAGGCGGCACAGGCCTGCCTTTCTCCCAGCTATCTGCAGCTCAGCAGTGAGGGTTCTGGGCTCCCCAGGCTTGCATCTGCACACCCAACTAGTCAAGGTGTCAATCACTTGTCTACTGTAGCTGCTGCCTTAGCATCCACTTTTAGACCCAGCATCAGCTGTGTGAAACCCAGTCTCGCCCTACCACCTTTGGTCTAGGTGTGACTTCCCCTCCCTAGAGGGGCATGAGAGGGTCCATGCATTTCTTTTTTTTTCTTCTTTTTGTTTTTGAGACGGAGTCTCACTCTCACCCAGGCTGGAGTGCAGTGGCACAATCTCAGCTCACGGCAACCTCTGCCTCCCCGTTTCAAGCAATTCTTTTGCCTCAGCCTCCAAGTAGCTGGAAGGTATACCACCACACCTAGCTAATTTTTGTATTTTTTGTAGAGATGGGGTTTTACCATATTGGTCTGGAACTCCTGACCTCATGTGATCCACCCACCTCCCAAAGTGCTGGGATTATAGGCGTGAGCCACCGTGTCCGGAGGAGCCCATGTGTTGCTCATTTCACCAACCCAAAGCCCAACTCACTGCACATGGTCAGCACCTGTGGTGTGAATTGGGCTTTGGGTCTGTCAGGTCAATAAGCCCCCAACCCCCACACACTTGTTTTATTTAAACTGGCCAATCTACGCCTCCCAGAGGAAAGCCCGTGGGCCTTAACAGAGGCGTAGTCTCGGGCCCTTGCTCACCCTCCCCGCCTGCCAGTCAAGCGCCCTCCTGTCTCTGGATTTCCCATAGGCCTTCAGGGACGTGTAAGTAACAAAATGCTTCTCTCATTTCATGTATTTTATTGTGTGGCCACCTCTGTGTCTCACCTGACCAACATACCCGAATCTAATTCTCCTCTTGCTCAGGGCTCTTCTTGAGAGTGGCTATCCTGGTGGGAATAAATTGGCCCCAGGTCAGACAAGAGCCACAAGAACTTGTGCCAGTGTTTCCTGTGAGAGGGACACTTGGTCATGGGTCACACTTAGGCATTAGGCTGTCTACCAGGATAAAGAAGTATCCTGACTGGGTGTAGTGGCTCGCACCTGTAATCCAGCACTTTGGGAGGTTGAGGAGGGTAGATTGCCTGAGCCCAGGAGTTCGAGACCAGCCTGGGCAACGTGACAAAATTTCCTCACTACAAAACATTAGCCAGGAGTGGTGGTGCATGCCTGTAGTCCCAACTACTTGGAAGGCTGAGGTGGGAGGATTGCTTGAGCCCCGGTGGCGGAGGTTTCAGTGAGCCAAGACCATGCCGCTACACGAACACTTTCCCTGGAGCCCCCTCAGGACAGGGCTAGAGTTTACAGACACTCTCCAGAATGACCTCAAGACCGAATCGGAGGAAAATCACAACTTAAGGGTAGAGAAGTTGCCGAAAGCGAAGGCAGTAGTAATTAGCCATCCTTGAGGAGGAGGGTGGAAATGGAGAACTTATTTTGGTAACTGCTTCTACATGCTGATGGCTTCACCTAAGGTAAATTGCGCCTTCCAGTTTTAGGATCTCATCCAGAATCATTATAATATGGGTGAGGGTACACTAGCTGTGGGTCCAGTCCAAGGTTCAAATCCTGGCTTAATTTATTTTGCTGATTATCTACATTTGGTATCCTGCTTAACCTTTCA